CCCCCCACCCCTTCCTTCTATGGCTACACTTACTCATCTTCCCTTTCCTCCTACTCCTCTACATATAGGATTTGCTTGCACCATATCCATTAAGCTGCATTTTTCTGCACACCTTTGCACATGTATAGTGTATACAGTGAACAATTGTTTTGTATGAGCCCTGTTCACACCACAACATGAAAAATTGCAGACATGCTTCCTTTTTTGCATCACAGTGGACCACTGTGCAGGTCACCACGTCACAGTTCACCATGTAGGAAACTGAATGGAGTGTACACTTTGTGTGGAGGTGGGCAGACAAATACATCTTAATGTACATGGTGTGAACAAGCCCTTAGCCACAGGAATTGAAGAGTGGAAGCCCTGTGTAAACTCCAAGTCTGCCTTATGAATGCATAAAACACATCAAGGTGTTTATACACAAGTTTTTGATGTTTCCTTGGTGCGTGATTTCAGTTTTGTAAACTCCAAGTGATGAGCTTCCTCAGGGCTGAGGACTCTCTTGGTACCCCCATGTAACAGTGCAGGACAACACACCAAGTACCAGCACTGTCACATGGGAGAAAAGGGAGTAAGTCACGGTTCCCCTTACCTGGAAGTACCAAATATTCCTCTTGAGCAAGATAGCGAAGGGAAGGCATGTGTATTCAGAGACCTTTCATTTAGAAATCTAAGATTCTACCATTACTGCCAGTGATCTCGCCCAAACAATCATTTATCTGGCCTGATTTCTAATTCAATGATGTTCTGACTTCTAGGAATTGAGCTAGTGTCTGAGCAATCTGAGGAAGAGTTGAAGGAGGCTACTGGACCTGTCCCTGATTTGCCAGAGGGAATCACTGTGGCATACACAATTCCTGTTACGGTATGACATGTATTGACATCACTTTGTAAATACATTTAGAATATACAGACAGTGGGAACACTAAATGGCATTCTTTAGCTAGATTTAAAGTGAAAACATGTTGAACTGACAAATGCAAAACATCTAGACATTTAAATTCTGAATTCTATGTGAAGACAACTGGCCACGACTAGGCTTGTTAGAGAATCTGAATATTCAGACTCAGGTCATTATAATTGTAATGCTGTGCTTTATAAAAGCTTTATATTTGCTACCTTATTTACTTTTAACAAAGTCTGATTTTTTTAGCATGAAATTCAGAGGATACTTGGAGTCTGACAGTCTTGTTAGGCGATGCTCCAGTTTCAGACAGCCGCAGAACAAGTGCAGATGTAGGCAGTTGCGTACTTTCACAAAACACACACAAAACATGTGCAATCACAAAAATAGTGCAAGCTCTGGTCAAAACATGTGCACATGTTAAAAAGCGAGGCTAAACAGATTTGCACATTAAAACAAAATTATCTAAGAGGCTAAAACTGTCGCAATTACTTTAATAAATTCTCCCCAGTGTATGTTAGTGTAATAGAATTTTCATGTGCTTCTGCCACCTGGGTACAAATGTACCAGTGGATAAATGTCAACTTTTTTGAAATAAGAAGTGCTACTAATGGCCATACCAACACAACCAGTACAGCATTTGTAATGCTGCTGGGAATTGGGCCCTTGGGTTCTCTTATACATTTTAGCGATTTCCTTCAATCAATGTTGCTTTTATTGGTATGGTGTGGGAATGAGGTTGCAAGAATTGTTACACTATAAGCAGGCTGTGCTATGCTCTCTAGTGCCCGAGTGATGGCATCATTTCACACTAAGCCAAAGCATGTTTTCTTATTATTAGGGTCCAGCAAATATTTTGTGTCAGGGCCAGCAGCTGTACTGACGCCTTATTAAATAGAAAACAACAGCATCAGCTAAGGTCCTCAAGTTGAGCCCCCTTATGCATTTTCTCATCATTTTATATACATGGAAATGTACAAAGCATATATGGTCTTATTCATGAATATGTTTGTGATTGTATCTTCAGAAACCCACATCAGGAGTTTCGGTGGAGGACTCAGAGCAGAGTCTGGAGGAGCTCATGGCTCAGATGAAGAACATGTAACTCACCAGTTCATCAAGCAGCAAATGATTCTCCATTCTGCAGAGAACATGCTTCTTATTACTTTGTCATATCATCACATGAGGCCTCACTTATCAGTGTCTGACATAAGAACTGACTGCACTGTCACCTGACATCCATTCAGCCTCACATTTTCAGACCCCAACTGTTATATTCTTGTGCTTGGTTGATATTGGACAACATCTTTTTTGGAGACACTTATAAATGAGGCCTAGTCCAATATTAAAGTAAACCCGTCATGAGAGAAGTAAGGAAGCTGCCACTGCTGGCCTACTTCAAAATTGCTAGACGCCTGGGTGTTGTGTTGAACCTGTTGGCCTCAATTGTTTGAGTCACTGACCCAGAACAAGTGAACAGATAATGAAAGTTAGGAAAAAGTCAAATGGCTTTATATGGCTACAGTACTTGTTCTGTGTCATATTATAGCAAAATGGTCCACAAGACAGCCAGGTAACTAGATTTTTTTAAAGTAGAGGACACCAATGGCAGCCTTCATGGTTTCTATCATGACAGGTTTCCTTTAAGTTGTAGGGGTATATAAAGCATTGTTTCCATCACTGAATCTGGCTCTAGGGTGAATCAACCTTCACATATTTGCATACATATGTGCGTGTGTACTGTGTCAGCGTAGATTGTAAATGTAAAGTTTTGCAATATCTCCTGCCCACTGATACAGTAAGGGCACGTTCACACTATATACGTATGCAACTAATCAACGCCAGTCACCGCAAGGGCACAAAGAACACAATTGTTTTCTGGGTGCCCTGTTCACACAACGCGGGTGTGATGTGCTTTGCTTTTTGCCTGCACTAGAGCGCAGTATACCACTCTGCTGTATGGGGACCTGAATGGAGTGTACACTTTGCACACTCCAAGTAAAGTCAATAAAAAAGACGGCGCATCACACTGCTTGTCCACTCAACCTGTCAGAACAT